AGTTGTTCCCCCAAAGGGATTTTGGGTAATTTTGAGTTCTGAACTTCTCAAGACCTATATTTTCAGAAAATATCAAAATTAGCCGGTAGTACTTCCATTGCCACCTCCACCCCAAAATAGCCTCTAATCTGCTGGCCTAAGTGAAATAGTTCAGTTTTCTTTGCTATAAAAATCACCTTTCCCGTGGGTACATTTTGGTAAACTTTTTGTATGTTGTAGATATAAAATTTAACTATACATATTCATAAAAAAACGTTTTGTTGCAATTATGTCCAACTTCGGTGCTTCAAATCCGTATTTCTGGTGGACTACTTGTCCTTGAGCAAGACACTTTATTTGCATTGCTTCTCTCCACCCAGGAGTATAAATGGGTACCTGGTTGGGTTGCCTGATCCAGCGCTGATTACCAGCAGCAACACTTAGCATGTGGACCCAATGACCCGGGAAAGGAACTGCGCTTTATAACCGCAAAGAAGAGGCGCATTATAAATGCCCGTACCAGTACCAGTACAGTACCAGTATACACGAAACTGTTCTGTAAGATTGTTATAAACAGAATTACATTACTTGATAGGAATATCAAATTATGCACCTATTTTAAATTAAATATTTTTCCACACAAATTCAAAGCATATAAATGAGGTTTCCAGCTCGAGTTCATCATAATTCTGAATTTTAAATATGCTTATGCTTTCTGATGTAACTTCCATTTTTTTTTTGCAGACTACAACTTTTTGAAAAAAAAAATGTACCGTCAACCACTTTAAATGTATGCATTTTGAAAAGGAAACAAGAACCAGATCCGGATTTATAACGATGAAAAATGACGTTAACTTTATTAGCAGAAAGTGTACCGGTAAAATTAACTGCGTGCCGTTAAAGGCACCCTTGATAACCGTAGATACTCGTGATACGATGTAAAATTTTTCCAATTCATAATGTCGTACGACCTAAATTTCGCTTCTACTTGCTACGCCATATTGTTCAAATTATGACGTATAATTTACGAATTTATCTGGGGATTAGTTCTACCCAAACGTCACTGAAACGCTTTTTCACGATTTGTAGAGGTGTGATAATGGGATACGCAGGGTTAAGTCCAATTAAAACTATTTTACCTAAAAAACAATAACATTTAAAATTTGAATTGCTTTGTGTATTTTAAGAAGTAATTAGGTATCAAAAGAAAATTAGAACAAGAAAATAGGAATTTAAAAAAAACATTTATAAGCAGTTTACAAGATTCGTTGTTAAAACTTATACCTCTACCAAATGAGGTTATGTGTTCACCTCTGTCTGTCTGTCTGTCTGTCTGTCTTTATGTC